AAAGCAAACATTTTTGTACCAGCCGTTTCTACCATGCGTGCAGTGCGCGAGGGTGTTTTGATAATCACTGCTTTTATAAGACAATAATTAATGGAACGAGACCGAAAAAATTTTTTTCAAATAATGGGGAGTGAGTGAGTGAGTGAGTGAATGAGTGAGCGAGTGAGTGAGCGAGTGGGGAGTGAGTGGGGGAAGGAGTGAGTGGTAGTGAGTGGAGAGTGAGTGGGGAGTTAGTGGGAAGTGAGTGGAGAGTTAGTGGGGAGTGAGTGAGGAGTATTTATTACGAATTTACGAATTAACTATTACGAATTAATAGAAATTACGAATATAGCATTTATTTCTAAATCCAAGATGGCGAACACTACTTTACAACTAAATGCACTTTTCAATAAACACTCCTCACTCACTCCCCACTCACTCATGCACTCACTCACGCACTCACTCACTCACTCACGCACTCACACACTCACTCACTCACTCACTCACTTATTCACTCACTGACTCACGCACGCACGCAAGCACTCACTCACTCAATCACGCACTCACTCGCCCCATAAATTTATCATAATTGTCAGTTTTTGTTTGTGTCAGTAGATATAAAATTAAAAAAAAAATTATAAACAAATTATAATACAAAATATATTTCCATACAGTGCAATGAACTTAATATTATCAGCAGTTTCAAATTTGAATGATTTTTGCGTCATTTTGGTATATCCATAGTCAATGCCGCAGTAATCACTGAACTCGAATGGCAATTCTCGCACTCAAAACGGTTCGAACCGATTTGTACGATAATCGTATGAACTTGAAAAAATGTCATACGAGATCGTGTTTAGACAAGTCGAAAACTCGTAAGCAAGAATCTCCTTACTACATATTTCTCCGTGTAAACAGTCGAGGAGGCGATTAAGTTGCTTGCGAATCTCGTACGACATAATCGTAGGCGAGATTTTAGTTCTTGCCTGAATGTAAACATTACGATACGATAATCTTATGGCGATTATTGCTTACGATAATCGCGTACGAGTTTTCGTCACGAAGCGTGCGAGAAACTCTCTCCATCTAAATGGGCCTTTAATTGTGTTTACAGAGCTGCTCGAAATATGTAGCGCTGTGCTTTCAAAGTGGCTGCCAAGTAATTTTAATAAAAATGTAGACATAAGATGAAAATAAGAGAATAATTCAAAAAGTAGAAAACATTTCGAATTAACAGTAGTGATAAAATTAGATAATCTTCATAATTTCTTTATCTACCCATCAATAGCAACGTAACCATAAATTAATTTTATTAGTTATTTCGATCATCAGAATTGTCGTAAATCTAATACATACTTTAGATTTAGATTTATAAATTAATTGCCACGCAGACGTGGCAAGTAAAGATATATGTTTTACTTATTTTTTTCAATTCTCTGAGGTTTTCGAATAAAACTCCACCAATTAGTTGTCAAAAGTGACATTAGTTATCTTTAGACTGAGACTATGTTGCCATAATTTTCCCAAATACTTACCAAAAATTGGAAACTTTTAAAAAAAGATGATTTTTAACATGTAACACGGTTGAAGCATGTATGCAAAATACTATGCAACAATGTATGCATAAAACAAACTTTATAATATTTTCGCGTGTTACATTAATCCGACGCTTTATAGTTCTACTAGACAGCGAGTATAATTCACAAATGCATTTTATGCAAATAAATGCTGTCACATTTGCCCCACAACACCTTTATAGCTTTATCCATTTCTACATATAGCATGTATTACTGTTAGTAAATTCTCTGCTTGTGGGAAGTTTGTACTTAGTATTCCAATAAGCTTCAAGTACCTCCACCATTTAGTTTACGTGTTGATAGATGCTAGCGTAGTATTTGATGATTTTATATAGCAAATTGTACAAATATCTTCAGAGATCGTGAAAAAATTAATTAAAAGGTTCCATATAAATATTATGGTACGGTATTGAGCTAGCATGGATTGTTCGACACTTGTCATGTTTGTCACACGGGTGGTGACACTAGAACCTGCCAGGTATACCACCTTAGGTACTTAGTTTAAAGCTGATGTGTATTGGATTGAAGATTAGGGCGAGCCGATGCATATCACATGCAAATCCGGCAACGCATTAGCGGTATTAAAATACTTCTTACGTATCGCAAACACGTGTAACCACTTTCCATCAGTTGAGTCGTCTGTTTACTAGGTTGTACACCATAAAAACGTGATCACGAAATTTTTCGCGACGATTTTGGATTATAATTATAATACGATATTAACTAAACTGTACATGCTAATCAATGTGTAAAACGGTATTACGTTTATATAAGCTTATTAAAATCATACTTATTTTTAAAGAAAGCATACCAATAGTTATCTTGACGTTATCTGTTTTTTACTTTTCCTCGAATATTTTAAGGATAATTAATGTGCTTTTTCAGCTATTGCTCATGACTATCAGCCTGTTGCCATCTGATTTATTCCGTGCTTTCATAGTCATTTACCCTTTTCCGCCATGTTTGCGCAGCTTACTGAAACTGAACAAACTAAATAAGAAAACTAGAAATCTTTAGAAATTAAATAGTAGTTGTACTATGACTTGTACGATTGTGTGTTTAAAGTCTTTGTACATTTTAGACATTTTAAATTAACGTCTTAATTAAAAGGTTCGTCAAGGAACTTTATGCGGCATCGGAGCTTACCTTCACTAAAATATTATTATTTCAAATGCCGTGGAATTTATGAATTAAATTTTAGTGTATGGACGATATTCAGTAGGGTAAAGTTAAATTAAAGTCGCACGCGGATTTGTCGGGCGGCGAGCTTAAGGCCAGCCTGCCACCTGCGCTCCGGAACACTGAAAACACAATTTGCGGCGCGCCTTTGCTGCTGCTGTTTACTTTTATGCAATTTGCTTTTTGTACTTTTTGCTGTATATTTCCTTTGCCGTCTTTAGGGTCAACGACAGCTTCGGTAGTGCATAAAGAAAGTGTACAAAATTGAGTATCAATTTAGTGTAGTTCAGTTCAAGAATTAAACTTAATTGCTTATCACATAGACAATAAGAAATATTGTACATTCCAACTCACTGTACTGCTCTATCTGTGCAGTGCTGCGGAACAGGTTCTTTACGGGGAAATGAAGCAGATGGATGTCTGAAGTAACGTAAATTTAATACAATATTGAGGAGACTTAATGGGTCCAGGATATAATTGGTAATTTATTTACATAGCCCTCATTGAATATAATAAATAATAAATATAAATAAAATTAAATAAAAATAAATACAATATGGAAAAACTTTAATGAATTATGTTATATTTTATTATAATATAATAAAATTGTATCAATACTTCTGAAAAGCAATGAGGAAAGTTAATCAATGTTGGAATCCGATTAAAAGAATGAAATAATATTTTTCTTCGACAACTCAGTAGGTGCATTGAAGGAAAAATTCCTGGATATTTGTCTTTGATTTAAAAGGTGTGTAAATAAAGGAGTGTGAAACAATGGGAGGAGAGCAAACAAGGTCATAAAGCACGTCACAGGAACGAGCCTATATATAATCAGCTTAGTGATAAATTGGCAAACAGCACGCGAGTGAGGCAGCTGGTTCCGCCGCGGGTGACGGGTGTCTTCGCGCCGCGGTCGCACTCCGCCCGCCCTGAACACCACCCGCCTTAGCGCATGACGTCGGGTGCGCGGCTAATACCGTCTGATGGAACTACACAATATTGTCTTTACCGTCGTAAACTCAATTCTTATACACCTTGCCGACGTTGTAATCTTTGATGAAAGAGGTTCCTTGTTGCTTGGCTTTTGTTACGATATTCTTTCACAGTTATGGTTAGTTAATGATTAAACTTGAATACAGTGTTTATTTCGACGGATTTTTTATAACAGCGGGAGCAAATTTGTAATTTGGGAATTCAGATCACACATTAAGGTGCGCTGAAATGTATGTACCCGTTTTTCAAAAATAACCACCTGAATCTTTTTAACTGGTGCAGTCTGAAAATAAATTTTATTTTCCGTCTCAAAGAGCCCGTTTTCTTTTATTTTATGGGGAAATATTTCACTTAATGCTTTAAGCGCAGGTAGAGAGAAGTAAGCTGCGATAAAAACAGTAATTACAATTTGAACTTGCTTGTTTTGCCTTCCACAAATTTATTTTTAAGTGGAAAATGCGAATTACTGTTCTATTTGCCAAACGAAATAAAATTGTGTATGTGTGCTTGTAGTTATTGATTTTAACTCAACCCCGTGGTTAACAAATAAATTGACATAAATTCATATTTCTTGTTGCGTACTGCAAGTAAGTTGAAACTGGCCGGTCTGTGCTTCCACAAAGCTCTAATTTGGAGCCATATTCAAGGCCAGGGTGAATAAGCATTTACTAGGCAAAAGTGTAACACCGACCACATCGTCGCTTAAAATCAGATCAGATTCAGAAAAAATGTGCCTTTAAATTGGAAAATCAAATTTCGGATTTTGTTAGAAATTTCTAAAATCTATTGAACCTACTTGAGCATCATTTGACACTGACTCATTATGATAAGTTTATGCGGGGCGGCCACTCAGTAGAGAAACGTCTGACTTGGCGGTAGCCAAAATATTTCATTAAATGAAATTAGGATTAAGTGGACATACGAAATTAGAAATAGTGGACTATTTTGCAGGCGTTTTAATGTGGATCCTGCCTATTAATTGAGTGTGACCTTTTCGCATATAGACGGGTAAAACGTTGTAAACGTTGGTTTTATTGAAATAACAAGTTTACACGATTTAGCTCCGAAGAAAGAAATAATTTCATTTCCAAATATACAAATCATTTTTCTTCTAGAACAAAACACATTGCGACGCATCTTGGATCAATTATAACGATTGTGTTACACGAGGAGATACATATTCCAACTGACCTAACCGGTATTGAAGAAATGCTGATGCCTTCAAATTATGATGAATCTTTGCACGAAACAAAAAATATAAAATAATCTCACCAGTTATTGACAGTAGTATCTGTAGTATCGCCAACGTAGTAGCCGCACCGAGGAGGCTCTGCATTGTCTACCACACGCTTTCTTTCGGGTCCGGCATTGGAAATTGTTTACACAACCCTAACCCATGCACATTTCTTGCCTTTTAACTTTTTCATTTTATATATCAGTGAAGGTCTATAAGACGATTTTTTTCAAGTAGAAAGGTATTCTGGTAAGCTTCATCCTTTTACCTGTAAAAGATGAAATATTTGACTAATTTCAATAAAACGTACATACATAGGGATATGGACGTTATTGTCCGATTAAACGATAGGCCTTCAATAACGATAGCCATTAGTTTCAGTGTATAATATGAAAGTAATAATTATAGGAAAATTTTAATACTTTAAAACATAAGTACGACAATGTAGTTACTGTATATTTTAAATGTCTTGTGAATGAGAAATCGTAATAGTTGTATTTTTTGTTCAGAAACATAAATCGATTTCAAATGAAAATTTAAATACAAAAACAGACCAAAAATCTACTAAGTATTTATAATAATGCGTATGTAGAATATATGGATTCTCGTAATATAGTAGTTATTATGAGAAACTTTTACAAAAGTAGGGAGGAGTACTTGAAAGTTAGTAGAGGTATCATTAGCGGCAAATGGCAAATAATCACCACAATAAGTTGTCGACGTTCGGATAATTACACTTTTTCAGCTGAAATTCGGTGCGCTGGAGCAGTTTCATCGACTTCATAGATATTTTTTTTAATAGAGTTACATTTTTTCCGTTACTTTGTAATAGGTACTGCATGATTGCGACATTACTTTTTTAAAGAGTGTTACAATTTTGTATTTATTATATTTACATACTACAATAATTAAATATATTTACAATTAATCATTTATTAATAATCGTCTTTCCAAACGTAGAAAACCTTTAGAATGCTTAAAAAATAGGGCTTTGGTAAAATTGCCGTTACTTTTCTTTGTGATATTCAAAAAAGTAGTTGTAGACTTCTATTTACAAAAGAACGTTATGTTTAAGCAGGGAGTTTCAAAAAATATTTGTGAGTGTGAATTGGCAACAGTTTTTAACCTAACCTGATGTTTGGAAATTAGAGAACTTTAAATTGTATTTTCTTCAAGTCAAGAACATCTTGAAGTATTTGTTACTAAAGCAACTCTATCACCATTAGAACAGAAGGGTTAACGACCAGATTGCGTGTTGCCGTACTGCTTTACGCTTATTTATATGACGTGGCAACTGGAAAGCCCGTCCGGCATTCTAAATGTTACAATATGAGCCGTGACTCGTGACATATCAAATTTCGATTATCAGTTATATGATGTTCGACAATGTCAATGACCATTTTGAGATTAAGTTTTTGTCATCAGTACTGCTCAATTGCTGGTTTTATTATTGATTTAATGTTCTTGGCACCTCGGATTTTTTACAAATGCAGAGGTAACTATATACAAATGTTAACTTGAACTTTGTTAAAATAATAAGATTGCTATTTAAGTTTCATTGTATCTATCAAAATATAATTCATTTAATTGCCAGCTCAGTACAGAAGTTATATAAAATAAAAAAACTCCCTTTTACTAGTATTGTAATATTTAGTTACAACATTGGAGCTAGGGACTAAACTTCAGAAACACAATTGTTAAGTTTATTAAAAAGTTATATTTAATTGTTAAAACAGTACTTAGTACCAAGAATATCCTTATTTGGTTTTTGTAATTATTATAATCAATAAAAGGGTATTAATTGCTTAAAGGTGTTCCACGTTTATTATAATTATTAAGCCACCTCAATTGCGACGAACAAGTGAATAATATAACAACGTTTCGATATTTTGGTAGTTTGAACGCATTTTAAGCTGGTATTTGATTAAATACTGATAGTGTCTTGGTTTATACTTACGCAACTATTGCAAGTAATTGAAAATTACAATACATTACAAACAAGCACAAAAACAAATTACCGAAAACTGTACATATTTTTTTATGATTGTTTAATTATATTCGAATACAAAAAGAAAATATGTGCCTCTTCTGTAAAAAAAAATGTCAAAAAACGATGTATTCACGCGGTGTTTGCCGTTTGTTTTGATACCAATCCAAAATTACAACCCAATAGCGGAATATATAAAAATAGGAGTTGCAAAACAAAACAATGCCAACTTTATCAGATTCCCGTATGCGCTATAAAATTTGCATACCGGCACATGATAATATTATTTCTGGTTATTTGCTCGGCCAGTTTTGTGATGATATAAAAGACATGAAAAAAAGTGTACACAAAAACCGTTGAATGAGACGAGCTCAGTACAGAGTGGAATGTCATGGAAAATATTTTGAAAGGGTGTGCTTTTCAAAGCTACGTCGTCGTATTGAATGCGCTTTAATGAAAAAAACATGCGCCGATTCGCAACCGTCAAGGGAATTAAAACCTGGGAGCGGCGTCAGTGAATCCAAATGCATCGGTTGAAATTTTCATTTGTACGAATATTATTTCCCGGTGGGGATTGTGCAGTCGTTGCTTGTTTAAATTTATGCTAGCTTCATTTTGTGATTTCGTTGGTAAAATAATTGGATTAGTTATGAATGCTTTGTGAGCAGATTTTCAAAATAAATTGATTTTGACTGTTATTTATTTTCTTTTGTTAATTAATGTCCACTTGTTAATTAAGTTAGAGCGTCAGTGTATTTCAATCTTTACCACGTTATTATTTAAAAAAACAGAAGCTTACCTATATATGATATTTTTAAATCGTTTTAATGAAAGAAAATGCGGGCAATATTACTGAAAATTAAATTGTACGATATTTATGATCAAAATTTTTTTTTAGGTTCTAACGTTAACCAATAACTTTTTAACTTGAGAGTTTTAGCATTAAATTTAAAAGCTTCCGTAAGTCTAACGAATTAATACTTAACTGAATTTAAAAAATTCCGTTAACTTTTTAATTTATTTTATTATCATGTTATTTCTGTTGACATACTTATTTACAATAAACAACAAACGCCACATTATTGTGTACGACAGTAGAGAAAATCAGTTAAATTTAAATAATAATGAAAAGACTTTAAAACATCTTGAAGACGGTATAGAATAATAAAAAATATTTCACCTAAGAGGGCAGAGAACAAGTAAAATTCAAAATATGCAAAGTGTACATACTCTTCTAATCTTCTATACATGAAGTCAGTTTCAAACTCTTCTTACACAATTCTAAAACATCATTAAAAAAACTCTTAATTGTCAATAAACTGCGTACAAATGGATTTAGTTCTTCTTTCAAAAAATTAACGAAATTTGTCTGAAATCTGCGGTACGTATTAAATTACGAAAGTTATCGGAAAGTTGTGACGAGGAGCGTTCAGTCCATACTTGGAACTCGTCCTCACGCCAGCATGTGCGCGGTGCGACTAAAAGCTTCTTTCAGGACTTGCGGCACATTCCCGCTAGCCTACCTTCCAAGTTTTGCAACGATCCTCTTCACCCGGAACGCCCTATAACACCAACTAATAGCAAGACTTTTGAACTTTATTCTTTCGGTGTTAAGAATCATTTTGATTCATTGACTCTTAGTATTAAGTACAGTTTATATTTGGCACTAACAAGGTGAGTTTATTCGAAGTCGAAACGGTTTATGAGCAGCTTCCTTGAGCAATCAATTATAAACGTTTCGCATAAACTTTTAGGGATTGGTTTTGATTTTTACCAATGATACGAAAATGATGCAGCTCGCTGGAAAACGTGTGAAATTTTTCCGCGTGGGACAAGGACGGATAGAGCTTTTCGTGATAAAGGGAACGGCCTACGTGGCATGATGGTGGGGATGATCTTAAAACGTTCAAGATTTACTTTAAGAGTCGGAATTTTAGTGTTCTAAATAGAAAACTCTATTGTGTTGATATTTTAGATGCTTAGTTAAAGGTATGTTTAATCTTGTAGAAATAATACCTAACCAACTTTGCGTTTTTAAACCGCCTTATAAAAATTCTATGTAACAGTACATCATATTGGAATAGTAAGTGTTTTGATGCACTCATTCATAAAACATAAGAAGAGGCACCGTCTCAAAGGACCTTAGTTGACGCAAATGTTGTTTATTTTGTTAGGAAAGAAAGCCTTGTACACAACGTACAGCGCCACATGTCAGAGCATGAATAAAAGAAGAGCTATGTTTCAGACTTTCAAAAGTTCAACTCGTATTTTTCAAAGCGGTGCTAACGTTTCTCATGTTGTTAGTCATCACAGAAACTAGAATCAACCTATGTCATTATTTTTCCTTGACTTTACGTTTTAAAACAAAGCAAACACATTCTGATTTGATTAATACACAAGAATACGTTCCCCACTTTAAAATCTTAGATTGATTACACACGGCAACTTTTAGCAACGATACAAACGCGCATTAATCGCTACACTTGCGATTAAAGCGCGATTTATATTTTTGCTTTTTTAATTGCGATTAATAGACGACTGCATAGATGCAAACGCACGACTACATCGATGCAAACGCGCGTTTGCATCGATGCAAACTCGCTACTGCATTGATACAGTCGCTTATTTTGAATAATTATTATGTACGGAAAATCTGTATAGGTTTATGCACATTATTTTTGTTAAATGTAAATTTGAAAGTGAAATTAATAAATATATTAAATAAATAAATTACTTAATGAATTTGAAACGTGCATCGCATTTGCATTGCGTTTGGATCGAGTTTGCATGGTGTATACATCGCGTTTGCATCGCGGCTGCATCACTACTGCATCGCGTTTGCAGCGCTGCCAAAAGTCGCCGTGTGTAACCTCTCTTATGACATCTTTTTAAAAAGTTTTTAGGACGGAATATGTTATAAAGGCATACTAAATTCCACATGTAACAATCTAACGCTGGCAAGTTTATTGTGTAATGAGAAATCTCTCCTCTACTAAAATATCTTAAGGGCAATATACTTTAGCTAGGTACTAAAGCAATTTATGAGTGTTGCGTTTGACCCTAAATTTGCGCAATAAATAATGGTTTACTTTGTCGTTTATGAGGGCAACAGACATCGCCGTGTGCGGACTGGCGGAGCATGTGTAACAGATTGCAGCAATAAGGCAAATTGTCTTTTTTATGAACGCCCGACGCAGCCACCCGACGATCGTGTATATAGTATACAGCCAAGCTTGTGCCAGTTTTTGGATTATTTAGATATTTACTTAAGTATCATCGCACACAAATGGTCAACATGTTGGTTGCAAAACATAATTTTTTACATTGTCGGTGCGGGGCGTTATAAATTTAAAACATCATGGTTTTAAAACTCGGAAGTCTTGTTTGGTGGATTTATTCTACTTTCTATACAAAATTGCAAATTACCTTAAACGTATTGATAAATTTATTCCACCCATAAAGAAAGTTTTACGATGTACGTTTTATATTTAGAAGTAGAGATACCAAAAAATAAGAAGTAATATACACGGGGTGAATATACCTATAGTCTACAAAAGTAGAGTAAAAGTAATATTTTTTACTCTGTGGTATTCTCTACTAACAAATTATGTCTAGAAGCCATATTAGTAAACGTAACTACAGTATTACAAATTTTAAACATAAATGTAAGTATGCAATACTCTAAAATATCTCATAACAATTCCATCTGACGCAGTAACTGAACAATATTTGTAACTGCAAATATTATCATCAATTACAGGGCAAGTTCAAAGTCTCATGTAAGTAAGTGGTACAATCGTGCCCCCCTAGCCATTTGTCTTACGTACCTGAGAGGTGTCCAGCGCAAACTGAATCCAGAAGTTAATTTCACGGGGTATTTCTTCTACTGTAAGAAACCTGCTTTAGAGCACTCTAGTGTAAAATAGAATTAATTCATTTCTTCCTTCAAATGTTTCTTAGTAGAAACTTTGATTAGCTTAATTTCAGAAAATGCTGGCTGGATACACCTTTATTGTTAGATTTTTTTAAGGCACATTTGAAATATAAGCTATACACACATTGTACTCGTATTGTGATTGCATTCTGACAAGTTATTAATAGTTTATATTCTAAACACAACCTTTATGCATGAAGTGGAAATTTTGTTTTATTTTTCAAAACCTCACTATTTCTTTATTAGAATAAAATTGATAAGTCCAACCATACAAAATATAATTACATAAATTATTTGCTCATATACATAATTTATACAACTAATTTGTTAACATAATTATGTCAGTCCGCAACGTAGGCTCCGTCAGGAAGATACAAATATAAATCAGCAACACGCTTCGTCACATAAAAATTAATAATGCAATTCGCCAGACTTAGCCATTTTAATCCAACTATTACAATTAAACAGGACCGCTCAGAATCATAGCAGGTTCAAAATTGAAATAATTGAAAAGTCAGACGAAATATAAAATAAATGTAACTTCAAAAAAAAACCATTAAGTAGTGAACTTCTGATTCACTTTTGTATTACTTGGTATAATGTAAAATATGTTTACGAGAACGATATGAACTTTAAAAAAGCCAATTACACAATTCATTCGCAACACAGGTCCGTTTCGATGCTTTAACAAATTCATCATCCGCGTTCTCCTTTAGACATTATCTCGCCAAACAGCCGCTCTTACCAAAGTTGCGCGCCATTATTTTCTTGACATATTTCACAATAGCAGAGCGCTGTAGAAACGTTTTATCCTCTACAAAATTCACGATGCATCCAAGGGAAAACATTTTCACGGGATCGTACGACTGCGAGAGGTCTAAGTAATTTACGATTCGAGCACTTTTATAAACATTTGACCACCAGAGGAAACATCCAAAAACTTGTTTATTTTTCTAGAAAATACAAAGTTTGTTTCTTCGACGATATCTTGTTTTGTTAAAACCACCCATTATAGACACGGAAAACAAAAATAAGTACTTTGTTTTGTTTAAATTGTTTTTATTACCCTTTGTACTCATATTTAACCTGATATTATGACAAACTCAATTTCCTCGAGTCAATCAAACATTACAACCATCAGCTTGTATCTTCAGTACCATCTAGGGAGGATGTTTAATTAAACTTCATGAAATCTGAACAATAAAGTGTCATGTCGCGTGTCGAGCGGCTATTTCATCGCATGTAACCAGCCAATTATGGCCTTCGGTTTCCTTTATGAAAGTTCTCTGAAAAGAACACATCTAAGGCTTCATGAGGTCTCGATATACTGGTGACATGAGCAAGGGCAGAATATGATGCAACAGGGAAAACAAATCAACGATACGAACACTCCGGACATTTTTATTTTGTCTGCCACATAATTGAATTTTGTGGTTCGTCCGATCATAGAGCTGCGGTGCGCGCTAGATTTGTTTGCAAAGTAGATATGCAAATATCCAGGAGCGGTTTGTGTATCTGTCTACAGCGACTTTTTATTATTATTCATATAGCCGCATAACATAATGTTGATTTACGACGATCTATTGGACGACATTCAAGCGTAATCTCTTTGAAGCTGACAATAGATTGGAAATTTCTTTGGTTATGCTTAGGTTGCTTTAAACGAAAGTTATTTTGATACTTTTCTATATTTTGATTCATAATCCGTGTCTATTAGAACTGGTTCTTCAGTGGGGGGATAAGTTCTGAGATGCGGTAGAATAAGCCCGGCTTACCCGCATGCCTTAGCACAAGCACTGCTACTTCCTCGGGGCTAAGGGGAAAAAATATGAATGGACACCTGTTCTCATTCACACGTTTTTGCTAGATCGCTTTCGTATTCGAGTAAGGAACGGATTTTTTCGCTCTGAAATGCTCCGAAGATGAATTGTTTCTGCCAAATAAAGCTTTTCGAAGCATTACGTACTTAAATTTTGCTTAAAGGGTTATGTAAATTTCTTTACAACACATATAATCTAAATTATTTTTTTGTGAGCGTCCTTTAGGTAGTAGCTTAAGTATAAGCCGAATTATAATAAATGAGTAATTTAAAACGTTCCTTCGATCCGGCCGGATTCGAACCGACGTTTTCTAGCATACCGTGCCAGACGCTATACCAACTAAGCCACGGAAGGCACTAGCGGACTTTTCGGGCAGAATTTTTCTATGTGTTTGTTGTCCTGTCTTTGTATTTGATTTTTCACCGACTTTTTAGCCGTAGCGCCATCTATGAGAAATCTTAAGTATTTCGTCACTCAGTTAGATACCTTTACAACTACCAGGCTTGGCAAGAGATGTCGAAAATTTAAATACAATGAACAGTCATTGTATTTAAATTTTCATTGAATTGATTTGAGTGTTCGATCTTTGTATTAATAATTACAACAAACTAGTAGAGTAGTAATTTGACATAAAAAATAATTGAATATCAATTTAATAAAAGTTCAAATT